GTGACGTCACACGACATTTCAAATCAATATATCGTCGAAAGCATTTAATTTTGTGAGAAAATTAAAAATACGTGTCTAATGTTTTAAAATCATCTACCAGACGGACATTAAAATAAAATTTAGGAAACTAGCCTATTGTACAGGTGACGTGATCGTCGGTATGCTAACCAAATAGTTCCTAGTATTTATTATAGAGGGCGTTGTTTTGATATTGAATAATACACATCGATTCGTATGTTTTGAATGTGACGCGTTGCTGCCAAGGGAAAGCGGTTTTGTAAGGACGCTATTAGGACCCTGCCGATACGAGTAAAAGGGCAGGCAGACATTCCTTTGTGGGACGTCGTTACGCGATCACGCTCATCTCTTAAGAAAATTCTAAACTTCAAGCAAGTGCAATATTAAGTACCATCTCTTTACTGACTGTTATCATTGTGAATACAATATACCTACGTTAATAATATGGACGAAGTGTGTAGTTCTAATTACTACCGATTTCCGCGACGTCTACGACTTATACAACATTCCTTCTCCTTGAATAACTATGGTATCTATACCACAGCTATATACGGGTAACCGGGGCTCCGGCTCGACGTGCAGGAGAAGGAACGGGGTGGTTTTTAGTCAGTAAGAGTCTGACACTCCCTCCCGCCTCACCCAGGCGGGAGCAGTCATTCGATAATATTCCCCCCTTAAAAAAAAAATACCACCTATATATAAACTCTCTAGAGTTTAGTGGTAAGCTGGCTACAGATAATATTTAAACAACACGTGTCGTTTATTTTTATTTTTTTAAAAAACGTTGCCCCACATTATTTGTTTCTCCTGTGCCGTGGGTGCGTTTACAAATATACAATATCACATGCACCCAGACCCGTAACAACAATTTGTGGATCACACAAAGAGATGTCCCAAATAATAGACATTCTAGTCTAGACTCAATGCTATTATTATAAGTACTTAGATACTGTCATTTTTTTTCAAAACAGAAAATAATTTTTACTTTTAATTTTCTTCTTCTAAAATAGAAATATCTTTAAGTCAGAGAATCAATATGTTTTGTTTTTTTCTTAGGTACTACTAAGTACTTCTAACTACTGAATTTATTCTTTTTTATTGTTTTTTTTTTCAGATTAACCTGTTGTTTTGCTTCTAAGCAAATCCTAGGACTTTCCTTTATCCACCCACATGAAACAAACACTCATTAAGAGGGGTCAAAACACTTAATTAAAAAAAAACAATGTTTTTTCCTTATTGTCGGTGGTACCGGTAGCCATTTTATTTTGTAAAGTGACGTCAGCGTTAGAGAAATGCCAGGAGCGAAGGATCCCTCGTTAAAATGCCGGCAAATTGCATGCTTTGTACTTCCTCAAGGATGGCAAGACTTAATGATGTCAATATTTATATATTTATACTTGACCTGCTTGTTTTTTTTAAATCCGCCAAATTGAGGTCAAGCACGGATTTTGTAATAAGGCTTATGCAATAATAGGTTAAAAATGAAACGAGACTGTTATTTTAATTCAAAATTATTGAAGCTCAGATCATTTTTGTTGGCTTATATTTATACAGTCAACCTTTTGATTTGTTAAAAAAACTAAACAAAAGCTAATTACAAAACGAACGTCTAGCAAATATTTATTTAAGCAAGATTGTGATTCCCTTCAACAAGTTATCAGTAGAATCACTACAATACAGTTATAACAAGCCGCGCGTATCGACCGCACACAACATGTTGGCGAACAAAACATCGGCAATCGGGTGTCACAGGGGTGTTATAGCGACAGCGGGGTGCGGGGGGCGAGCCTGCGCCCGGCCCCACCCAACACGCTCAGTGACCTGCGCGCCGCGCCGCTCGACGAACGCGTCAGCGCCAACAATATGTCCGATACCATAAACGTTGTATTCCCGCGAAAACTGCTCAAGGAATTTATCTCTCTATACCAAAGACAACCATGTCTCTGGGACAAGCACTGCGTATCCTACAAAATGAAAAACAAACGCCACGAAGCAATAACAAAATTGACCCAACTCGTCCAGATGTACGATCCCAGTGCGACTAGAGTGCATGTACTGAGGAAAATTGAAAGTTTGCGAGCCTGTGTCAGGAGAGAATACAAAAGAGTGCAAAACAGCAAGAAAACTGCAGAGAATGAATCAGAGATTTACACTCCACATCTGTGGTATTACGATCTGTTCTCGTTTATGTTTCAAACGGAAGACACAACCCAGGAATTTGAAAAAACTAAAGAAGGTGCTTCGTCTCCGCAGTCAACAACTGTGGTAAGTATATAAGTAGCACCGTGCAGTACCCCGTGGTCGAGACCGGTCGGTCGATTTTACTAGCGGTATGTAACAACGAATGCAGCACTAGAAATTGTTCTGGCTAACGCTGCTTACGTTATCGCTCGAAAAGTGACTTTATTTAATAGCAATAAAGGTGGTTTTCGATTGTATGTAAAAAACCTGCAGCATTTTATTGTACGAGTAGAACATTATTAAACAAGAAAATATGATAAACGCTCAATATATCCTGTTTGTTTCGAGGGGTTGGTAGAGATGTATTGTGTATCACTCAACTTTTCACTTTCGTATCAGTCAGGGTATAAATCTAGACCCAGGATGAAAATGATTTATTTTTGTGACATGTTCTTAAAATCTTTGCTCATTTCATCATGAAGTACAAATATAAAGTTTAAGTAGAAATCAAACACTTTAATAGAAATCCGCTAAGGGTTATCTCGAGCTAAGTTTAAGCTCAAAGTCAGGAAATAAGTCGCGATAAATCACTTAGCGAACTTACACGAAGAGTTCACACTTAAGTTCCTCTCAAGTAAGCAGCAGTAATATGTTTTAGTCGAAGGAACTCAAAACTTAGTTCGTACTAAGATTTTGAGCCGATCCTTAGAACACTAATTTTAAGCCTCGCACTACAATGGAAGTTTGACTAACTTTGGTAGGTATCTAAGTTTTGCCATTCAGGTTACCTAGTACGATACGGGTTATCAGAATGGATTGAGTTTTTTGAATTGAAGTGTGTAAAGGCGAGGCAAATCGGTTTCAAAACTTTGTCTGAAACCCAATATTTTACACTGATGGGAGCATGTCATATACTATACATGTAGCTGTAACAAATTGACACCATATTTGTATTATAACTTTCGTGAGACCTACTAAATACATTATTATGTTTTCGGCTTACTATCTAGTAATTTGACGAGGAACTCGACTAGCAGCGCGACAGACGCCACGTCGCGGGTCGCGAAATGCTGCTCATGCATATGAGCCTCTAGCATGGCTTGAAACTAGTCGAGTAATAATAAATTGGCACCAGTTACATGCTATAGCATATACTTACATATAATATATATTAAATACAAGATATCTTAAAAATAAAACCTGATTGACCATTGCAAAATGTTTCAGGATACGAGTGACGTCATGTTTTTAAGGTCTATATTTTATAAGCTACTTGACTCAGTATATTCTAATTAACCACAATTATTACATCAGGCCTCAACGTCAAGCCTCTCTAACTAAATTCACATCGCTAAATATAATCCGAAAAGTTTTGTCCAATCTTGTGCTGGCCTGAAGTCAGGTGGCCTAGGGTCATTAAACAAAGGGACCCAACTAACTTTTAGGTCAAACAAAGTGGAAATTCATTTCGGAAATAGACTGTTGTACCGGTACACAAATTCAATATTGTTTTCGGTACAAAAGTTTTATATAACTTTTTTAAGTTTGGTTTTATTTTTAGGTTGTTTGGTAATATTTTCTTTTTGTTTTGTTTTGAAGTTGTTTTTTGTGTTACTGCTTGACAGTTGGCCTAGTTTTTTACTGTTGTAATTGCTTTGAAAATGC